GCCTTTAAGAACTCGTTTTTTTCAAAATTTGCCTCATATAGGATGAAAACAATGATTTTTGTGAATTAAAATTTTATAACTCATACCTAGATACAATTTTTCTAAAATCTGTCAACTTCTCAGGAGGTATATTAAACCTTTAATCATTTCGATAATAAATCACTCATTCCCCCAAAAAACAGCACCTTTTTACATTTTACCGGGTTTTAAATCTCCGCTGACTGCAATGGTCAGCTTGAGGGACCCTCAGCCGGGTTATCCCAGCCCGTTTGCCCCGGGCACTGCACTTGACCCTTGAATGACACGGGTTTGAACTGCACTGTCCACTTGAACAAAAGCAGTTGGCGCTTTGCATTCGTGGGGTTCGCATCCGCGGATTCAACCCACCACGGAGTGTCTTCGATCCATAGTTGGTTGAATCCGGGGATGCAAAGGGCTGACTGTAGAGTCGCAAGTTATATGTGGATTTTCGACCATGTTGGGGTCAGCACCCCTACCCCCTACCCCCCACCCCCACGTCGTTCAAGGTCAACTGTACTCAGCAGGACAGAACTGCACTGGCTGGGAGGGACTCTACTGTGGCTGTCGTGGAAAGGGACACCTTATGTCAGGAGTCACAGACAGTGAGAGCTCCTGCGTCCCCTTGTTTTGGGTCCCCTTGCAGACTAGCACTCCAGGAAGCTGCTGGCTGGCCTGTTCCTCAGTCAGGCTCTGGGGACAAGGGACCCAGGGTCCATGTCCCAGTGCCCGATCCACCAGGAACTATTGGCCCTGCTCTGCCTTCAGTTCACCACCGTGTGACTTGGACAAGCTGCTGAACCTGGCCAAGCCTCGGTTTCCCCATTCAGTCACTCATTCAGCACATACTGATGAAGTGCCACTTGTCCTTCTAATGACAGGCTAACACCTACTCTATACCAGGTACTGTGCACGGTACTCCATGTGCATCAACCTCTACACCTCAAAGCAACCCGCGAGCTCAGCACTCACTGATGCAAACCAGACCTTGCCCTACTGAAGAGACAACCACGCACAGGACCGCTGCGCTCTCTCCCCTCACGGATTTACCGTCCCACCCTTCCAAGAAGGACAGTAGAAGAACTGATCTCCTAGGTGAACCGAGGCACTCAGGTCCCTAAGAATAGCACCTTGCGGATGGTAAAGGGTCAGCAGTCTGAGCCATTATTAGGGAGCAAAATCAAGGCAACAACACTGCTTTGATCTTATGTGGCTTAAAGGTGGCTGCAGATGTGAGGGACAGTGAATCAACAGGAAAATGCCACAGTTGGAGCTTGCATTGCCACCATGGGGCTGGTGGTCCCACTGGCAAAGGAAGTGTTGGCCAGAGAGGGTCCGGGCGGGCAGGTGGGGCAAAGCGGAACTGACAAGAGGTGTCCTAGCTTCACAGCGGGAGTTCACTGTCAGTGCCTGCGGGGTAAGGGGGCCTCTGCACCAGCTCCCATTGCAACGTGAGCCCCAACTTCCCTCCCTCTGTGGGGAGGCTCCAGGCAGCAGCTGGAGGGCCAGCCTGGGCTGCTTTGGGAAGGAGGGGCTGGGGTCCCTCCTCTACCCACCCAGGGAGGAGGCAGCCTGAGGACCCCAGACCATCACAGCAGAGCTGGGGGATGCTCGCTCGCACTCACCTCCGTCATGTCTCCAAAGGGCAGGATTTCCAGGTCCTGGTTCAGGGAACAGCAGTGGAGAACCTGGAGGTACCTGGAAAGATGGGAGCTGAAGGGACACGTGGCCACAGCCCCCCACAAATTTGGAAGGGAGGGGCTTTGCATTGCATGCGGAGGCGTTTGGATTCGATCCTAGTCTGATGGTAAACCCCTGGAGGCTTTTTTCATTTCCTTCCTTCTTTCCTTTCTTTTAATCTGTGTATTTAGTAAATATTTGAACAGAACAAGAAGATACCGTGAAAAGCAAGTCTTCCTCATGTCTTTGACCCTCAGTTGCTTTTCTCAGAAGCAGCCAGGATCACAGCTTCTTATGCATGTATTCAGAAATAATCTATTCGGCTAGTATGTGCGCGGTGTATACAGGCTTCTATTATTTTATCGGCACCCCAGTAGCCCATTACGTGGCTGTACCCTGAACTATTTAACCATTGCCCCAAGGACAGACACCTGGGTTCTGCATCTTTTGCTACGATGAACAACAGGGTGCAGTGTGTGAACACTCTTACACGTGGGTCCTTGTGTTCATGGGTGAAATTCCCTGTGCATTAAATACCTAGCAGTGCTGGGTACCTTTCTACCTTTGGCAGGTATTTCAGAGCTACCCTGTGAGTCGTGTCAGTCTGAAAGAGCAATCAGTGACCGATGAGGGCTGTGTTTTAGGATGACCACCCTGGAGGGCCACAGGGAGGGACAGAGCAGAAGACAGGAGACGGGGAGCCCAGGGCAAGGGCGGTGAGAAGAATTCAAGCCAGCGGTCACAGACACCCCACACACACACACACACACACACCCCACACACACACCAGCAGTGGAGATGGAGAGGAAGAGAGAAACCCCTGAGATAGGAAGGAGATGGAGCTGGCCAGGCTTGGTGACCAATGAGATGGAAGCTCTCAGAGGAGGCGGCATCAGGCTTGCTGGGTCACACAGTTCCGTGACGCCATTCTACTGAACTGAACAACTTGGGAACAGAAACCGGCGAGATGGGGGATGGGCAAGCAGGGTGCTCGCCCATGGGTATTGGACCCTTTGTTGAGGAGCCCACAGGACAGCTGGCGCTGGCTAGTGTGTACACCTACAGGTCTATGCTCCTCAGTGTTGTTACCGGGGGCAGATGGCAAAACAGCCAAAGGAGGTCAGCATCCACCACCGCGCGAAACACGGCTGTAGCATCTGGGGCAAGGTTTCCTGGGTCCTTTACTGAATGTCTGGAGACTTTACTCAAGATTTCCAAATGAATGTGTCAAGCAGGTCCACGTGGGACCCGGGCAGGGAGAAGCCGGCTTTCCAGGCAAGGAGGGATGGAGACGGCAGGCAGCCCACTGGGCCACAAGTCCGAACTCGCTTCCTCCACAGGCACAACCTCACCACCCTTCCACTTACCTTTTGAGTCAGGGGTAAGGGATTAATACAAACGGAAGTTCTAAGCTAAGCTTCCAGGGGGGAGGGTCATTTTGGCCTCTGTAGTACCATAGTTAAGCGTGATGTTTCTGAAAGCAACTGGGTTCAATCCCAGTGATACCAAATCCTACCAGTTATGTGACTCTGGGCAAATTATTGAACCTCTTGGGGCCTCACCTGACTTGCCCAGAAAGTGGGTAAGATAATAATCTCTCTTTCACAATGTGGGGGAAATATGCTGATGCAAGTAAGTGAGCACACAGCAAGTGTTAGCAGCTGGGGGTCCCTCCCCCAACTGGCCACACCCACCATGTCCCTCCCCGCCCCTCCCAGAAGCTTACCTGGCCTTGTCGTACTGCCTTCCCAAGAGGATGTTCTCTCTGACGCTTCCCGGGAAGATCCAGGCCTGCTGGGGGACGTAGGCCAGGCTCCCATGGACCCCCACCGAGCCCTCCAGCAAGTACATCTGTAGCAGACAGAGTCCAGCCTCAGAACACCCCCTGCCCGCTCAGCAGCCACAGTGCCCCAGGCCCTACTGCCCTCCACCCTGGGGGCTCCCCTGTGTCGATGGGACTTTGAACGTGGTCCCCAGTGAGCCCAAGGGAATGGCCTTGAGCACACGGAGCTAAGCCAGACCAGTTCCTGCGGGGGCTGAACCCAAGGATTGCACTGAAGGCACCCCACTCCTCTCTTTGCTCGTATTTCCCAGCCTGGTTCCCTAGCAAGCAGTGCCTCCAGGCTCCTCACAGAGAGACGGGGAGCCCCAGGCCGTCTCGGACCATCCCAGGATATCATGGAGTTATCACTAATGTCGCTGGGTGTGTAATGGCACCGTGGTTAGATGCAAAACTGTCCTCCTGTTTTGGACATCATGATAAAGCGTTTAGTGGGAAGGTGTCATAATCTCTGTAATTTAAAATAGTTCTACAAAGTATGTTTCTACATCGATGTGGTAAATACTATAAACTGTTGAATCGAGGTGGTGGGTTTATGCGGACTTTACTGCACTGTTCTTCCTGCGTTTCTGTTTGATAAATTTAAACACACACATAAAAAGAACAACGACCACACCCCTCATCCCCATCACCCCAGAATAGGACCCCGCCATCCCGTGCTCCTTTCTCTTTCTTGCCCTGTGCTTCGGAATCGGAGCCAGGCTTCCGTCCATGAGAACCAAACTTTAAAAATATCACCTTTTTGTTTTCCTTCATTGGCAGGAAAGCAACTGGTTCATTTGAAGAATAAACAGACAAACCATTGGCCACTAGGAAGGTGGCTTTAAACGGAAGCCACCAGGAAATACTGTGATGAGGAGCTAAGCTCCAGCATCCTGGCTCCAGACCCTGGCTCCGCCCCTCACCTGCTGCGTGACCTTGGGCCAGGCGCCTCTCTGAACCTGACCATCATGATAGAATCACAGTGCCTGCCTCATAGGGTTGTTTTCAGGGTCAAAGGCGAAAACGGGAAGCTCGGAGCCCAGGGCCTGGTGTACAAATACTCTTCAAACTGTTTATACGATTTTTTTTTTCAAGTGGAATCTTTCTTCTTTCCAGTTACAAAGAAGTTGGGGAAAGGCCATCACATGAGGAACACGAAGAAACGAGCTGTCAGACAGATGTATTAGGAGACAACTGCTGCTGACAACATGCCCACACTCCAAGGAGGTGGTGAGTTTGCCCCTCTGGGAGAAAGAGCTGCAGGCAGAGCACTGTTAGTTCCCCCAGCAATGTGGGAAGGAGGCGTGACTGGCTAAGAAAGGGGGGGAAAGAGAGAGAAGCCCAGGGCGGGAGGGGGACTGGGGATGAGAAGGGAAGGCTGGTGGGAGGCCCCCCACAACCCCGTGAGGAGGTGGCCGTAAATGAATGCCAGGCGTTGTGGCCATTTCAAGGTGTTGTTCGCTAGGAGGTGTGTAACGTGACCCCAAGTGTTTTGGGAGGAACAGGTTTGGGGTTTTTTGGAATTGGAGAAGGGCAAGGCGGGGCACTGAGAACATCCACAGGTGATGGAATGGGGGGTTCACGGGCAGTGGCGCCCAGGAGGCATGTGAATTCCACTGCTGGGCTGTGAGTGAGACTGGCCCGTCCCATTAGAGGGCCTGCTCCCCTCATGCCTCCTTCCTTCCTCTTTCTGGTCCTCCTTCCACACTTCCCCTGCTGCCTCACAAGGGACAATGTCCCACTCTGAGTTTGGCTTCATTAAATGACTTAAATTGTCATATTACACTTTGAAATGCCCTGTATCAGCACCCTGTTAGCTGACTGATTACCAAACAGGGTGGGGAAAGCACCAGCACAGGTGAGGGTGGCTCTCCAGGTGACCTAATAGGCAGCACTCCTGGTCAGAAGTTGAAAACGAAGCACATTTATAACGCACCCCACCCCCCTCGGGGCACGCCCACTGTTTTCAATTTACAAAACTTGATTGGCTCAGACTAAGTGGTGGTGCAACTTTACTGGGGAAACTCCGAGCTTGGGAGGCCCTGGTCTGCCTGAGGGTGTGTGTGTGTGTCGCAGGTCACTCACCTCCCCCAGGATGGCTGACAGCAAGCTGCTCTTACCGCTCCCCGTGTTGCCACAGACCCCTAACAAGGTCCCCTGCAAAACCAAGGACAGACAGGCGTTGGGACAGCACAACCCTCCCATTTGCCCAGGGTGGGTCTATTGTTTGGACGCAACATGACAGAGAAAAAAAAATAACCGCACATACCCCAAAGCCCCTGAGACAAGCAAATCTGAAGCCATCTGAGGTCAGGTCTGTCTATAGAGGTGGGATGGGACAACCGCAAAGGAAGGAAGTGGACAGAGAATGGCAGAAAGGAATGCAGGGATAGGAGGCCCTGTCGGGCCAGAAACCCAAATTCCAGACCCGCCTCTATTCTACTGTGTGATCCTGGGCCAGTCACTTAGCCTCTCTTCACCTGTAAAACGGGGTTAACAATGCCAGCCTCACAGAAGCCGTGCATACACTCGTTCATTCACTTATTCCTTCACTCATCCATCAGCTAGTCATTTGAGTTTCTCCTATGTATCAAACAATGAAGAAAAGAACTCGCATTGAGCTTGCATTCTAGCAGGGAGAGAAAATGAACATGAAATCAATAAGCAAACAAATAAATAATGTCATACGGTGATAAGTGATATATGTCAGATGAAATTGGCTACTATTTTCGGACAGCTGGGCATTAAAGCAATTTTAGGTGAGTTGGCCAGGAGAGGTTTCTTAAAGCAGGTGAGACCTGGATGACACAAGGCCCCGGGCTATAGGACCAGGAGGTGCAAAGGTCCTGAGGCAGGACCAAGGCGCGTCTCCAAAGAGTGTGAGAGGGCTGGTGAAGGTGGTGTGAAGGGAACAAGTGGGAGACGGGAGCAGAGATGGGGGCGGGTGCTCAGGGAAGCCTGGGCTCCATCCTGAATGCTGTGTCACTAACGGGAGAGATCCCTCTGCCCGCTGCATGTGGCGAACTATAAGAGGGCAGAAGTGGAGGCAGAGAGGCCGGTACGAAGGCAGGCGCTGGGCCTGGTGTGGTGCCGGCTGGGGCCAGGGCTGTGGGGGGGCTACAGTGACAGGTGCTGAAGTAGCGCCCACAGGCCTTGCTGACGGATCACNTTGATAGATAAAATCTTAGCGAACATGTTGGAGAGAAGAGGGAATTGTAAATACAAAATGGACTCTTGGTAACGGAAACTGAGGAATCAGACCAGAAAAGTGTTAACGGTCCTGTTGATGCGTGATACAGATGTGAACACTTGCACAATTCCGTGCAGGCTCCGAAAGCAAGGCTGTGTGAGTTAGAAAGATGTGGGGGTGGTTACTTTAAACTGGTTTATTGGAAAAGGATAAACTGAATTTCTTTAACTCTTCCGCCGAAGGGTAAACATCACAGGGCATTTAGCCCTTTCAGTGGCCCCCTATTACTCTTAGAAGGAACACCTGAATATAGCCCATGGAGACACGCAGGATCCTCTGGCATCCCCTCCCTCTACAGCCCCATCTCATGCCGCGGCCTTTTTCGTACAGGACTCTCTGGCGACGCTGACCTCCTTCTCAGGTCCTGGACACACTGCTCTGTGTTCCTTCCACCACAAGGCCACGCCTTTGCACATGCTGTTCCCTCTGCTCAGGCCATTCCTGCCTTACTCTGGCCTGGTAAAATCTCGCTCCTCCTCTAGGTCTCAGCTCAAGCACCACTCCGATGGGTCAAGCTGCCACTGTTCCACTGTCCCTCGGCACCCCCATACTTCTTCCCAGCAATCTCCTCAAACTGCGTGTGAGCACAGGTCTATCTGTGGGTCGATCTGCTTATTGTCTTTCTCCCACATGTGAGGTCCATGATGCGCAAGGGCCACATCTGTGTCACTCACTGCTATTTCCCATGGTCTAGCATGTGCCTGGCACATGTAGGGACACAGGACCCTTGTTGGAAGAATGAATGAATGAATGAATGAACGAACGGATGTGCTAACTCTGCCTCTCTGATGTGCCTCGGGCTCCTCTGCAGGTTCTTGTCTGTGGTGGGTGACATGGCTGTATCAGGACATGGTTATATCANATTTTGACATTCCAAGCTAATGATGCCTAGGATGTTTGTGTTCCACCAGCAAAACAGGAACACAGACACGTTTCTTTTTGGGGAAAAAAATTGATATGCAGCATTTCAAAAAAAAAGCATCACAGAAATTATCATGAAAAAATTAAAATATTGTTGACTTTCTTACACTTCATTTTATTATTTTTAATTCTATGTGAGGCAGGAGCAGGGACAATAGTTCACTGTGGTGCTCAGGGCCTCCAGAGCCTGAGCCTGGCCCTTGGGTACCTCCCATGCACCCACAGTCCAGTCTGTCAGCACCGTTGCCATCTTGGCAGCTGCCCTTTTACTTCCTGTTCTGCCTCCACGAGTCCAGTTGCACCGTCTGAAAAGTGGTTACCGCTGCCCACAATGAGAACATTGAACACTATGCCAATGGGACACCAAGGATGCCCGGAAGCTTCCGCTTACAGACCAAGAGCATGGAGAACAAACTGGTGGTCACCAGATGGGAGGGGAATTGGGGGGCTGGGTGAAAAAGGGGAAAGGATTAAGAAGTACAAATTGGCAGCTATAAAAATCATCACAGGGATGAAGACTCCAGCATAGGGAATAGTGTCAATAATATTGTAATAACTGTATGGTGTCAGGTGGGGAATAGACTTATAGGGGGAATCACTTGCAAGGTATATAAATGTCTAATCACCATGTTATACACCTGAAACTGCAATTGAAAAGTAAATGTTTGAAGCTATGAAGAATTATGACAGTAATGACAATGAAGCTGGGGACAATAGCTGGCGCTCTGTCAGCACATCCTTATGGAAGTGAAAGCAGCTGTCCCGAAGGATGAGGGAATATGTACCCTCTGCCTATTACATGGTGACCACATAGAAACCTCTCTACAGGTATAAATGTGTGGATGATTATTCTTTCACATCAATGTTCCAAAATGGAGTGACTGCAAAAGTGTTAGTGGACAGACATTGTGAGTTCCCAAATAAAAGAGGCAGCACCAGGGAACTGGAAGCGAATGGCGGTAAGTCATGAGGCCCTGTACCCACAGTGTTTAGGGAGGAACGAACAAACTGACATCTAACTGGTTGTCTGTCCTGTATCAGGCATTTTCCAGGTGTTTTGCCCTAAATGTATCACCTCTTCTGAGTCTTACAACAGTCCCATGAAGGACCCTGAGGACCATCTGTGGCCCACCATTTTATATGGAAAGACACAGGGCCCCGAAAGGGCTAAGCAACTTGTCTGATGTCACAGCTGGTAAGAGGTGAGATTCTGACCAATGTCTGGCATTACCCAAGAGGGGTGCCTTGGAACCATTCTTTTGTTTTAATTGAGCAAGTCTGAGAAGCAGTGGGTCAAAGTTGAACTAGCTTCTGTTTTCTCAGTGCCTTAAATACACTCACTTGCTTTGTGAACCTGAGACCTGGCAATGGTATGCAACATTTCANAACAGGGAAGCCGGCCCTTGCAAATACTAGTCAGAAAAGAAGCCAGATAAGGTGAGTTCACAAGCTAACCGAATTAAAACATGTGGAGCAGTGCTTGGCGCATAGCAGGGACTTAAAACAGGCCAGTTTAGTCTCCTTCCCATCTCGTCTGCACGGACCAGCACCCACACAGCATACTATTCTGGGATTTGCTATTACAAAACCATTTTCAATGACCGATTGATTCATATTAAAGTATGAAAGACTTCCTGTATTTGCCTTCCATGGAAATTTTGTCTTTTAAAGGGAGATTTGGAAAGGACAGTTTTTAGCCAAGGAAATGGAGGGGTGCCAGGCCACACTGCTAGCCTCGAGCCCCAAAAGCCTGGCAGCTGGCCTGCCTGTGTGGCCAGGACGAGGCTACCTTTGACACCACCAGGTTCATCTTGTGCAACTCTGGGGCCAGGCTGTCCCCTTTGTCCTCCAGCCCAAGGGCACATGGAGATGGCTGAGCCCTGGCAGTCCCCTCGGGAGTGTGTCCGTTCCTCTCCAGCTCGAAGGCTCCGTTGATCATCCCGGGGCACGTCTTTCGCCAGGACAAGGTGGCCTCCTCCAAAACCAGTGCTTTGCTGGGGTCTTTCAATGCCTTGACATATAAAACAGGGCTCTCCTGGAGGAAAAATTTCTGTACAGACGAAAAGAAAGGGAGTGAGGAGGAATTCAGCTCTCCGGTCCAGTAGGACCGCGTACCCATTTTGCTGGTCTGCCCTTGGTCTGGTTTATGAACTAATTAACAGTAAAAGCTGGAAGAATCACCATCGGTGAAGAGGAAGCTTCTTTCTGCTGGTGAAAATTCGAAATCAGCGTTTTCCAAATGTCAGGCCACTGGCTCACACTCCCTGCTCCGTTCACTATTTTCTATTTTATTTCACTGCCCAACAGTCTAACCTATGTGAGCCTCCTCCAAAGTGGTAACAGCTATTGTTGCATCATAGCACTGATGTGCAGCTTTTCTAATTAAGCTTTATTTATAACTATTAAGAGTAGAAAGGTCTGTCCATGTACCAGTCTGTAAGACATACTGTTTCAGGTCATATATCTCATAATGCGACAATTGGCAGGTCGCTTCCCTCTGCGTCTCCATCTCCCTGTCTATAAAATATGCGTAAATACAAGAGTTGAACTGCGTGAAATCTAGCATTAAAAAAGGTGGTGGGGAGTTGATAAATATGACCTCACTGAAGTCAGATTATATTCACATGACCCTGCCTGGGGATATACTTCGTGACATTTTGGATAATGGTTTTATCCCTAGGGAGTGGACACTCAGCCATTTTTATTCTCTGTACCTTTTGTATTGTCTGAACTTTGGACAATGAGCACATAGCATTTTACAAAAACAAAGCAAAAAGACTCTTTTCCAAAGAAAAAAGAGGAGGTCTGTTTCTTTTTTTTTTTTAATTGGACTGTAGGTCTATTTCATTGGATTAATAATCGTATTTGGGCCAACGCATCCCGGCATCATTGGGAACTGCATGTCCCTCTTTATTTTGTTCAGCTAGTTGGGTGCTTACTGTGGAATTATTTCTAATAACATAATGGGTATTCGTGAACCCGCCACTGAACCCAAAAGCCGGGACTTGTGTCTATCAACGGGGTGCTGCCCCATCTCATCCCCCTGCTCAGTGTGGGCACAGCTCTCCATGCCCTCCAAGCTCTCCGCACCCCTGCCCCC